TATTAGATAAGATTTTAAATTGAAAAAAATATATAATATATTTAAAACCAACATACCTTTCTGTATATAAGTGCACAACATGCTGCTCTCAGTTTCATTCCATAATGAAAACCACCCATAAAAACATGATTATTCATTAAACTAGTAATAAATATACAAGAAACTACGGCTCCAGCATATAAAAATGCTTGATTCTTTGTGATATCACTATCATCCCTAATAAAAGTAAAATATAATGAAAAATAAAGTTAAAACAAACAGGTTCAAAAATATTATGACTTATACGATACGAAGCCTGCTTTACTGTTAGTAGTGTTAAATGTTTATTGTAACTATAACATTACCTAAAATAATTTAATAGTTTTCCTAACATTATAGGTTGTAATAAAGAGGATGTGTTCATTATAACTAATATAATTCCTAAAATTGTATATTCCGGCCAAAATGAAGCAATCATAGCGAATAAAAGACTAGGTTTTCGATTTTTTTGGACGGATTTTTCATAAATATTATTCCATGATCTGCAATAAAATAACATAGCATCAGCAAAGTATAGAAAGAATTGCGCAACTTTTTTAGCCCTTATCTTCTTACATCTTGTATAATAAATTAATTATATATAAAACTAGTATATATCAAGAAATTAAGTCCATTAAGTGTTGTAACAGCCATATTTTGATATTCATATGAAAAAAACTGCCATTACAGGATAAAATAAAGAGAAAAAATATGGAGAATTCATTCAAGTCGGCCACCTTAAAATTTTGATGTATTATAAATTTAATATATTTTGTTCCCGTAGGCCGATTTTAATGATTTTTTAAACAATTTGTAGCTAAATTATTTGACTTTTTAGCATCTCTATCTAAATTAAAAACGAAAGTTCCTGTCTGTAAATTATGCGAGGGAAAATAAAATGTTGATATTATGGTGAAAGTTTGAAACACCCTGTGGAGTATGATAACAAAGCAAGGAACTGAAAAAATATTTTATCTTCTAGGTATGTCTTTTCTCGATAGTTTGTTTTTTATTCATCTCAATAACTTTATTTTTATTGGAGATATTGGCTTTTGAATAAGACAGTAACTATTTACAGCAATTTCAGCATTAAAAGTCTGCCTTTGCCTTTGGGCCCTCATCAACACACTTATAAAATATTGTTTTTGTAATGCCACTGTCATTGTAAAGTCACAGTAATATTGACGTTTACTCTAGTAAAGATGGTTCATAGATAAATAAAACAAGTTTAGATTGGAAAGTGCCCATAAGGACAATGTAAACACTATTTGGCGCTATTCTTGCAACGGTCGCGACCCAAAACTTTTGAAAATTTCGGAGCGGTTAGGCTTTTTCCGGAATTATATCGCCAAATATTGTTTATTCAAATTTATTATTTTCGTTTAATTTTATAAATAAAAGACAGGGTTTTGCAAACAAGAAACTTTATTTTATATAAGGACGCATGTATGAAATACCTATGAAACATTGGAAACCGACGTTATGCCACGATCCATAGCCACGATCCACGATGGTTTTGGCAGTTCACAGTTCACAGCACAGCTTTTTAAGTTTTTAATGCCACTTTTTCACAATTATCACCGGTTGGAGTAAATAAAACTTGAATTAAACTCACAAGATTGCAATTATTACTTTGAAAATAGACGCTATAAACACTTTTCGGAATTTCTTTAATGAGAGCGGTTTGGATTTTGAAAGATTATTATGATTTTTGAACATTCTGACTTTGACAAGAGAAAATTATTTCTGTTTTTGTTTGCCGTTGTTCTTAGCGACCGCTATAGCAGCGCCAGATCGCGTATAACGGCCGCGACATGGGCCGCGACCCAAAATAATTTCGCGACCTAAAATTTTTACGGGCTTTCCAATCTAAACTTGTTGCATTTATCTATGAGATGGTTTTAAATTCTGAAGTATGGGCTATTGCTGCTTTAATTATTGATCATGGTAGAGATCAACTTTTGAAAAACATCTCTGCTTGAGTAACTGCCCAAAACACAAAATAATAATATGATTTTTCAAAACTGCATAAAAATAAAGCATAAACATTATTTTATAGGTCTAAATCAAATCAAATCAAATCATTTATTGCATGTTAATAGATACAAGTATCCTTACACAAAGTCATATTTTGTAAAATGCAAAATTATAAAATAAGCACAACAATTACCAAACAGTAATTTAAAGTACACAAAAAAACAATAAATACACAATGTAAATGTTTTGACCTATAACCACGCTATAACCCTTCACTGCTTTCTAAAAAATCAGTAACACCACAGGTAACACTAAAATAAGCCATATCAAGAAGATAGCTTTTAATTGTCGTTTTAAATTGATGTCTTGGTAAACTTGTGACATTTTGAGATAATTTATTAAAGCATGCAGGAGCATAATGAAGGCTGGAGTTCCAAGATCTTCCGAGGCGCAAATGTGAACAGGCTTTATATTCATTCTGTTTCTGGTTGCATAATTGTGTTGTTCATCATGCGTAGTATATAGTTCTAGGTTATCCTTCACAATTAAAAGATACTGGAGGATATAGTAACATGGAAGTGTCAGTATTCCCATTCTTTTGTAGGCGTTTTTTGTATCTGCTTGACAACTTAAATTTGACAAAATTCTCAATGCTTTTCTTTGCAATCCAAACAGTCTGTCAGCATGAGCTGAGTGACTCCAAACAAGTATTCCATAAGTAAGCACCGTGTGAATGAGAGCATGATAAGCAGCTACTAACACATCACTCTCCACACACTTAGCCAATCGCCGAAATGCATACATGCTTATGGAAACCTTCCCTGCCACATAGTCTACGTGATTTTCAAAACTCAGTTTTGTGTCAAATTTTATTCCCAGAAATCGGACGCTGCAGAAATCTACTTTATATTTTGTTTTAAGAGAAAAAATAACTCTTTCTGTTTTAGTGTCATTCAGGCATAATCGGTTTGCCTGAAACCAGTCACCAACATTTAGCAAAATCGATTCAAAATCAGTTTGAATTTCTTCAGGGGATTTCCGAGCACATAAGATAGTAGTGTCATCGGCAAACAAAATCATATGATTCTGAAGTGTAGCCACGGGTAAATCATTAATGTAAGTTAAAAACAAGTTCTGTTGTCTGTTCTGGTCTGTTGATTAGGACCAAAAGCAAAGGTTTGATTTTAATGTAAAAATACGATGTTACTAAAAATACAGCTATTGCGATGAACCAAAAAGCGAACTATGGAGAAAGGATACACCTAGATGATAAAATTATTTATAAACTCCTTGCTTTGTTAACAATCCTCCACAGAGTGTTTCAAACTTTCACCCAAATATCAACATTTTGTTTTGTCTCGTATAATTGACACATGGAAACTTTAGTTTTTAATTTAGAAAGATGTACTAAAAAGTCAATCATTTGGCTACATATTGCTTAAAAAATCATCAACATCGGCCCACTAGAACAAAATATATTAAACTTTAAAATACATCAAGATTTTAAGGTGCTCGTTTTTCGTGCCGGTGAGTGTACTTGCTAAACAAAGTCAACAATAAATCATTAGATGAGCGGTCCAGCCAGAATTTTAAAAAATGACGAAGTCATATATTATATAGAAAATATTACCTCTGCAATTTTTAAAATAAAAAAATCAAAGTTAATAGATATTTAAAAAAGGCAACGCTTATTCTCTAGGAAAAAAACGTTGTGGAGAATCTGCAAAAAAAACAGAAATAATATTTTTGTAATGGTAAAGTCTGGAATGAAATATCTGATGCCGCAACTACAGTTTGTCCAGCTGAAGACAATACGCTCATAACAGAGATATAAAAAAGATAGGCATTATCCGAGGCATTATCTTTCTTCGTTCCATATGAACCATAGTACTACAACATCAGAGACAATATCTGCATACATCTGTAAAGGTCTAGTTAGTACATGCGAATATTGTACTGTTTCCTATATACAGGGTAGTCCGATTTGTATTTGTATTAAAATTATGTAAAAAAATCGAATAAGGATGTCCTAATATGCAGAACGTTTACAAACAGAATGTTTATAAACAAAACAATGTCTCGTTGTCCTTCTCCATTGGATTCTATTGAATGTTTTATATTTTATTACTACATATTGGGGTACATATATAAATTAAAAACACTTACCTTTCTAATCTATCACCTAAAATCTTACTTCTATCACTTTTGATTGGATTATATAAGTCATCCACTTCAAATGTCTTTGAATATCCTTTTCTAAACATTCCTATTGTATATCTGAAAGTAATTGTAAAAATTTAACCATAATAGCTACATAAATTACGAAAAACAACTAACGTAGAAATGCAAAAAATATAGGTAATTTAATAAAAATAATTTTTTTAAAAACTAATTATTAAAAATAATAATTGAATAAAGTTGTGCACTAGTGAGACTAATAATATGCTGTTTAGAAACTATAAAATTCCGAGTATATCCGGAGATATTCCAGAAAACTGAAAGTTAAAGCTTTCAATTTTATTTTTTTCTGACGACATTTGACAAGGTTAGGTTTCTCAAAACAAAAAGCACCCTTGTGGACTGCCCAGAGACTTTTACCTCGGAATTCAATTACTGTCAATGTATTAATGTGAAACCTTCTGCACTGTGTTTTATAAAAATTATATATCGGTATTGTAACGGTATTTTAAATTATTTCTTTATTTTCGAGAAAATTTAGTCCAAACAAGGAATATTTTGTTGATGTTTGACAATTAAAATCTTAAAAATAGAGAAGTTGTCTAAATATGTGCTACAATACGGATATAGTATAATCCTTTATCTGTAATTCCCTTCTTCATTTGTGTAAAAATACCTAGCCAGTTTTACATAAAACGTTAAATGCCGAACGCTTATTTTGCCACTTTTTCGGAAAAGTGAAATGAACTCTTAATAAAAAGTACTGCATAACTTTGCTTTCATTTGCTTTACTTAAACTTATATTAGCATTGTCTACTTATGACCCATTAACTGTAATCTAAAATATTTAATTTTTATCAGATATAGATTTTCAATCTGAACGAAGTAAACGAATGTTGTTTTAATTGTACGCCGTTGATTTTTTAGGAATAGGAAATACAGAGATTTGATTTTCTAAATATCGATTTTCATTTTGATTTAGATTAAGTAATATGGCGCCTCTGTTAGTGACCTAAGCCCCCTCAAAAAACTTGAACCCACCTAAAAGTCTGTGTCTAGTTGCCCCTTGCCTATAATGCTTAACCACCGAATATTAACTAAAGATGGTGTTAATTAAACTGTGACTTAAAACACATCTTTTTCTAAAAATATACTACCGTTACCCACGTTCTATTTCTATATTATTTATAGATTTATTTAAACGGTTTTTTTTTCATTGATGCGATTTTTACTCAAGGTTACAACTATTGTTTTTTTTTATATTAAATGTAATTGGCTCGTGATCAAATGGCAAGGAATTTATAAATCCTTAATCTTTGCAAATAGTCTGTAGAATAATGAGTATTTTAAACAGCATTTGAAAATTTAAACATAAAAAAATGATCCACTCGAAACAAATACATAATATGTATATCTAAAAACAAAGATTAAATCACTTAGATCAATGACTTAGAGATAATTAGTAAACCAGATAATACTGACTGATATAATGATATAATATAAAACTAGTGAATAGATGCGGATTGGTGTAATTTAAGTGTTTTACAAATGTATTCTTACTTATTTTAAACAAATGAAATTAGAAGTTGAAATAATGAAAAGGTTATCTTTCGATTGTGTGGTTTTGAAATATTGGTTTAAAATATACAGGGTGAGTCAATATACATAAGTGCAAATATTTTCAGGACTGGTAGATCTCGATTAAAGAAACATATCTCTTTTTACCGATTTTCAAATAAGTCCAAAATAACGGAGATATTTTACTTAAAAATAAATTTTCCCTTAAATTTTGAAAACCACTGGATCTTTTCTGGATTTTCTTTCTTGTAAATATAATCTACTACAAGGCTAGGTACTACATATTTTGCCATACTATAAAGATATTACGTTTCTTAACTAAAAATAAAAAAAATATCCAAATAAGATTTTTTCAAAAAATGAGAGAGAAATATATTATCCCTAAAAATATTTGCACTGATTTAAGGGTCACCCTGTATATTAAACATTTTCGTAAAAACTATTAAGTAAATTACGTTATTGAATCATGATAATTAAATGACTATATCTATAAGTATAAGCTGTGGTATAAGTATAAATAAAGTTGAGATTATATCAACATCGTCATGCACAATAATTGTCTTACAGATAAGAATGAATATACTATTAGAAGAACATAATCAATGCACTAATGAATGCTATAATAAATGAATTTAATGAGTTGTTATTGTGTGTCTCAGCTTACTTCAGCAGTAAAGTCTCTAAAGTGTTTCAAAAAACATGTACCATCTCTCGTGAGGAGACTCCTCGCGTAAAAATAAGATGTATTTCTTATATCAACATACCGAGTGCGTCTCAAAAGTGGCTCAGCCCTATGACTTTTAACTATTTTTTCAGTTAAAAAAAAACGAAATTTGGTATGTTAGTATATGACATAAATTAGGACTGATTGACGTATTCAATTGTTTTCGGTCACCATCATTCATTCATCAGTCATCGGTCAAGCGATCTCTTGAAACAAGAGGGGTGAACACGTACGATAATTCGCTGGTTTTGGGAAATGCTCTCAACACGAACAGCAGAGGCTGAGATAGGTACCAAAACTGTAGTTGTTAAAACAACGCAAGGAACTCCACAAGGTGGAGTGACCTCTCCCTACTGTGGAGCTTGGCAATGGATGAACTACTGGAAGAATTAACTCTAGCGGGAATACACTGCATAGGGTATGCAGATGACATAGTCGTCATTGCACGGAGGAAACATGGAGGCACCCTGTGTGATATTATCCAAAGAGGACTACGCATCGCGGAGAGATGATGCAGGACTGTTGGGCTGAGTATTAACTCAGATAAAACCGCAGTAATGCCATTCACCAGAAAGCGAAGTTTGAAAAACTTGAAAAGAATCCATCTAGATGGAAAGGAAATACTGCCATCACAGGAAGTGAAATATCTGGGAATAACCCTGGATAGTAAACTTCTCTGGAACAGGCATATTAAGTACATTTCCAGCAAATCCACAAATGTTCTCATGAATGCAGAAGACTGGCGGGAAATAGGTGGGGCCGCTCCCCTAACATTTTGCGCTGGATGTGTACCATGATAGTAAGACCCATGATTACTTATGGAGCAATTGCTTGGTATACAAAACTAGAGCAACGCACAGCAAGGCAAAACCTGTGCAAAGTACAGAGACTGGCATATATCTTCATCACAGGTGCCATGAGAACATGTCCAACAGCAGCAATGGAGGTCATTCTAGACCTAACACCACTGCACATTGTCGTCGGTAGTTATGCCAATGCGACAATGATTAGAATGGTTACTGACGGAAACAGTACTGGGAGAATATTCAGGTCAGGGGCTTGGAACACCCTCAAAAAGAAAATTCCACTTCTCCAACTCCCAGTGGATGACATACCAATAATTACAACTTTGAGAAACACCTCACTGTAGTATTGAGTAATAAAAAGGATTGGAAAAAAGAAACGCTTACTCAGCATATAAAAGACCATACCATCACGTGGTATACTGATGTTTCCAAAACCAAAGCAGGGACAGGGATAGGAGTATTTTGCCCGAAAACTAAATACTCCGAACCAATAGGCACCTACCCCAGTATCCTTCAGGCAGAAATTTACGATATCGAAAGATGCGTACAATTTATTTTAGATAGGAATTATCGAAAACAGGAAATTGCCATCCTATCCGATAGTCAAGCAGCACTTAACGCGATCAACTCAGTAACCATCAATTCGAAGTTGGTCAAAGAATGCCTAGAGAAGCTCAACAAATTAGGAAAGAAAATAAAGTCCTCCTACTCTGGGTGCCTGCTCACCAAGGGATAGAAGGCAATGAAGAAGCAAATGATCTAGCTAGAAAAGGAGCGAACACTTCACTAACTGGACCAGAACCGTTCTGTTTTCCAACCGAAACCAACTGAAAGCGGAACTGAAGAATCTGGAAGACTCCATCCATAACTTAGAATGGGTGTCCTCCAACGGTCTAAGACACTCGAAAAAGTTCCTCAGAACTTACAACCGAGAAAAATCAAAGGTTTTCCTTGATTTAAGTAAAAACAATCTTCGGATTGTCACGGGGTTTCTAACAGGACACTGTCTCCTCAACGAACGCCTCAGTAGGCTGAAGCTGAGAAACAACGGTGAATGCAGATTTTGTGGGGAAAATGGGGAAACACCAGAACACCTTATCACTGAGTGCGCCGAGACGACGACCATTCGTGCCATGAACATTTTTGGTACGTCTGATGTCGAGGATGGAGAGCTGGCCGCTGTGGAGCCGTTTCAGATACTGGCTTTTGTTAAAGCCCTGAGACTGTATGATGAGTTATAACTCGTTATAACTCAAGAAAGGGGAACACACAATAGATCTATAAGGTTGCGGTGATTAACTCCCTTCCTAAACATTCTACATCATTCATTCATTTCATTTTTTCACCGGAAATAACTACAATTTTTGATTTTTAAATGACACCCTCGTATTATTTTACTTTATTCGATAGAAAATAACACTTCGAATGACATATCATATGTCAACTTTTGACATTTTTGCATATGGTGTATTTGAAATTATAACTTGCGGTTTGTAACGAAAATATGACTCGAAATACCAAGTGTGTGGTATCAAATTATTCGTAAAAAAATGCTTTTTTCAAATATGTTAATGAGCCACCCTCGTTCCATTTGAAAAAAATTGATATACCAGGTGCGTCTCAAAAGTGGCTCATCCCCTATAACTTTTTTATTATTTCAGATAAAACAACGATATTTGGTATGTTAGTATATGACATAAATTGGGATTGATTCACGTATTCAATTGTTTTTGGTCACTTCTGGTTTCATCGGAAATGATTACAACTTTTGATTTTTAAATGGTACCCTCGGTATTTTTTTACTTTATTCGATAGAAAATGACACTCTGAATCGAATGACATATCATATGTCAACTTTTGACATTTTGGCATATGGTTTATTTGAAATTGTAACATGCGGTTCATAACGACAATTTGACTCAAAATACCAAGTGTCTGGTATCAAATTATTTGTAAAAAAATGCCTTTTCCAAATATGCTAATGAAAATTGAAATATGATTAAAAATACGATTTAGGCATCTTTTAAACAGCCAGGACAAGACACTAAAAGCATTAGACGATCAAATATATTTTTCCAAGGCTCCTTGATTAAAAATTAGTGTTTTTAACCATGGCACTCTAGATTGAAATTTAAAATAGAATTTGTTTTTGAGTGACTATGTCAAAAATTGACATACGATATGTCGTTCGATTCAGAGTGTCATTTTCTATCGAATAAAGTAAAAAAATACCGAGGTACCATTTAAAAATCAAAAGTTGTAATCAGAGAATAGGTACATTAAAGAAATGCTAACTTCATGTTAAAAAATGGAAACAGACGCCACCTGGTGTCGCCTGGCAGTACTAGCTAAATTGAGGGGAATTGGAGGGGCGGGGCTTAAAAGAGGGGAAATTTTTAAAAAAATATTTTTAGTTATCACCAAAGGTATCACTGACTTACTGTTTAAAGTTAATAAACATATTTTTTATTACTTTAATATAATTTAATGTATTAAAAAATATGTCTATTAACTTTACATAGCAAATCAATGATATTATTAAAGACTTATTATTTTCAGAGAAAATTCATAGTAAATAAATTACACATTCGTAAACAATATCATTTATTTTTTAGAGCTGCGATTTATATTACAATAATATTGAAATATATATATTTTTAACAATGAAAAAGAATATCCTGAACCTGAAAAAGAAAGATGATCAATTAATCACTTAAATTAGTTCAAAATACATTTTGCAAGTAACTAGTGAATTGGAAAGATAAACATACTATTAAAAAGACATTTTAGTAGTATGTTATCATCTATTTACTGATTATACATAAGTATATAATAGGTAAATAACATGCATAAGGCACTATGATACAACTACCTGTATCATGATAACACACTAATATCACAAAAAATATATGCTAATTTAAATTCCTTTAATGAAACACTATCTAGCCTCAATGCATGCCATTCCAAAGGCAAAAAAAACTGTTATACCAAATAAATATAAGCTGAATAAAACATAAACCAAGCCAACGTGCATAAACAACCAAAAAATGCATCAAAAAATACTTTTATCAGATCATACCCTTGGATATATTATGTATTTTATATATCGCACATCCCGTTCAAAAGTTTACTAACTCAAAATAGAGAATATAGAGAACATTGTCAAGAGAAGTAAAAGAAAATTTAAGTTAAGGCAATATGCTCCTTTTTGGATATTAATGGCCAAATAATATAATGTTGATTTAATAAAATTTTACTGGCATCCTTCTGAGGTATAAATCAGATTAAAAGGACATTGTTTTTGTAATAATTGTTTGTTTTGTAAACATTTTTTGAAGACAATACAGTTTTGAACGGGCTGTGCGATATAAACAAGGATCTTACTATTATTTGAGGTTAGAAAGTATTTAAATAACATAAAACATAATCAAAATCATTTGTCATCATAAATTATAGAGGTACTTACGTGTTTTGATATTATTATCAGGAAATAATACGTTTAGTTAAACAGGTACGCTGCCAGGCAAGTTCTATCGGCGGGTCTTTGCAAAAGTTGAAATCTAAAAATACAAAACTACGTTTACATCTTAGTTGTATTTACGAATAAAGTATTTGTGTGTAATTTCTGACTTACCAGTTAATTGAATAATCGCATTAAATACATCCAAATGGTAATTTAATATTGTAAAAAGCAAAATTGTTTTAAATCACTTGCCAGGACAGCCGGCCAGCTTCTTTGTTGGCAAAATGGCCGCGGTATCATGATTTAAGCAATGTGAGTGACAAAGAAAGCCAATGCCTGGCAGATGTTGCTTTCTTTGTCGTTGGTCCTGGCACGTTTAAATTTGACTGTTGCCTGTTTTCCCATACAAGTGACACCCCCGTGGTTGTAATCATTTCCGGTGAAACCGGAAGTGACCGAAAACAATTGAATACGTCAATCAATCCCAATTTATGTCATATACTAACATACCAAATCTCGTTTTTTAACCGAAAAAATAAAAAGTTATGGGGGTGAGCCACTTTTGAGACGCACCCGGTAGGTCCGATTCAGCTTTGTTTCGTAGCTGCGGGGTGTTAGTCTTCATTTTTTTTTCGATTTATTCTAGTTTTCTTGGGGGTAATTTTGTGGGTAAAAGTTACTATAAGATAAGTGCCACATATTTTAGTACTAAAAAGTGTTGACAGATGACAGATTCAGCAGGGACGTGCATATGGGTTATCACAGTGTATCTTGATATTTTGTCGATTTCAATCTCCTTCATGAGATAAACACAATTTTATTAATAACAATTAATAATATAAAAGTAAAATAAGATTAATAAAATATTTAAATTATTATTAAAATTTATAACAGTGATATTCAGTACTACCCACAGCAAATTTTAAAAAAATAATGGTATTTAAGAGAATTTCAAAACATCTATTTTTTTAAAGTTTTAACATCCTGTAACTTTAAAACTATGCATTTCTGCACCTATGTTTATAGGAACTGTTTTTTATATTTTTTGATGAGGAATGAATGAGTACTTTAACTGACCAAAGTATTTAAAACTTTGACCAGTTAATGACATTAAACATTTTGAAGTTTGCTAATAGACTTGAATTAATGGTAATTAATAAAATTGTGTTTATCTCATGAAGGAGACCGAAGTGAACAAAATATCAAGATACAAGTTTTAATCCGCATTAACTGGCCTACACAACTGTGCTAACAAGAGAAAAAAGTCAGTGGCGCACATGTTTTTTTTGTATGTATCGCCCGTTTTTGTCGCCCACGTAGGACGAAGCGTTTTATTTTAGTTTTAGTTCCAATTCCTTTCTATACCGCGAGAGATATCTTCCCTGCTGAACTAAAACTGAGAACGGGGATTAGGGACCCTATAATATGCCCTCTACATGGTATATTATGGAAATACGCCACCTGGTATATCCTTTCAAAACAGTAATTTATTAATTAATAATAATTAATGTCTATAATACATAAAAATACTTACGTGAAGAAAAGCAGGCCGAAAGGCGTCGCCTTCTCTCTTGGATTGGGATTAAGACGTTCTTTAGTAAAATCCATTATGTATGTAAAGTTTCCACTTTATTCTTCTTTTTCTCTGTTAAAAATAGCCTCAAAATTTGAAACAAAACTTCGAAGTTTGAATTGTTTTTAGGCTTAATTCGGTTTGGCACTTTGGCAGTCTTATTTAAATCTGAAAAATAAAAGATCAGACTAAAAAAAAACAATTTAGATTATAATAAAAATGTTAACGTAATATTAATAATAATTATTTTTACGTTTAAATAAATGATGTGAGAGATCATAATCAAACCCGTTTCTCAAAAAGAAGTAAACATTTTCATATTTTAATGTTTTCTTTTTGCCGCCTTATAAATTTGTAGCATATATAAACAATTTCATAAAGTAGGCTTATGATATAGAAAAAATAAAAAAAAATATCCATAGCTATACAATAATACCTACATACAGAAAGTTCGCAACAAATGAAATTATAAAAAAAATATTCATGTGGTATAAATTCAGCATGCCTAAAACCTTAACGGAAAAACGGAAACGCTGCGTAGCTAATACCAGTATGATCGGTGCTAAAACGAAAAAAAAAACTATTTTGACATATATGTCATATAACAACTTAAGGGTAAGGAAAAAAACTGACGATGTCACGAAATCGACTTGAGGAAAAAATGATGATTTCATATTGCCAAATAACTATGTTAGAGATACAAAAATGTATTACTGTATACTTTATTATTTAGTCATGGTTTGTTATATTAAATTACAATTTAACATGTCATTGTGTTTGTGTGTGAGACTTGGGTAGTTAATTACATAAAATGAACATTGTCGGTTTTTCCTTTTTTTTTTCTTTTCCCTCAACTGAAGTAGCGACCATTTAAAAAAAAATATATTTAACCCTTTCGAGAAGAAGGCTTCTCCGGATAAATTTGCCCCACAGTCGGGAAAAATGGCTCTAAGAATCTGTTTCATATAGTAGCCGAGAAAAAATGAGATTTATTTGTTAAAGCGGAGGTTAGTGATGAGGTGAGAAAACAGCAACGAACAATTACCTATCTAAAATGGCAAGAGGAGTGGGATATATCCGAAAAGGAAAGGTGGACTAGAACGCTAATCCACAACGTGGAGAACTGGACGAGTAAGAAACATGGAGACATGCACTTTACTTATTATGTTATACAGTTCCTTTCCTGGCATGGAGTCTTCATGGACTTCTTGCACAGAATAAAGGAAAGACCAAATAACAGCTGCATATACTGGCATACGCTGTCCAAGATGGAAAATCGTACACAAGAGGAAATGTACAGTTAGGTCACAAATTACCTATAACAGATGCGAAAGAACACCGAATTACGCGTTCAGGTTTCTGTGACCTTCAGAAAGAGTTCATAGACAATCCGCATCAATGTATAGTTTGGGTTATTATTTGTTTACATACAAAAAGGTATACAGACTTCGAGACATACGAAAAATCAAGTCCATTTAGCGTGTGTCGCAATTTTCACACCTTAAAAAATTAGTTTTTTATAGCTATAGCAACTGCAGCGACTATGAAAAAAGCTGTGTGATTTTCATAGAAAATAAAGGCACCTGTAATTCATTTGAGAATGTTATAAATCGCTAAAAGAGGTTTCAAATCTCTTGGATTTCTATTAATATTAAATAAATTTTATTAAAAATTGAACTAAAATTGTTAGTATCATTAAAAACAATTCAAATTCAAAAATTGTATCAGTCAAATTCCCTCATTTAAGGTGAATATTAAAGTAAATATAAATACAGCTCATTCTAAGCTCTACTTATCTTTAAGAAAAATTTAAATCATTGTTGCAATTGGGCCTTAATGCCATTTCGAATGAACAATAGTATTAATAATGTACATTATAATAATAATAAATTTTATATCATAGTGTGTATTAAAACTACTAAAACACTTTTAAATTGGTATTATATTAACAACTTTTGTTTTTTAATCCAAAAAAAAGTTACCAATTTTCTCAATCAAAATATTTGTGGTCCTGAAAAGGACCTTCGTTTTCCCATGTTCGTCAAGGTAGGTAATGGGTAAACGGTAAAAAAACAGGATAATGAAATTTAAAAAATTACAAAAATTGTTCAAAAGTGCCTCCCTCTTGCATTAAACAATAACCCAAACGATCATAAAATCCCCTCCTCACATTGGATAACATATCAGGGATGACAGTGTCAAAGGCATTAAATATTTTCTGCCTTAACTGCTCCAAGTTTTGAATTTCTTCATGGCCGTAAATTTTAGATTTTATGTACCCCCATAAAAAGAAATCATTCACCGAGAAGTCAGGTGAAATTAAACGTCAGTCTAAACAAAATTGTAATTTTTGAAAACTTGTCAAAATTTGGAAACACGCTAAATGGACTTGATTTTCCTATGTCTCGAAGTCTGTGGACTTTTCTGTATAATCTCAGAGTAATTTAATAGATTGCTCATCATATTATATCAGCTCGTAGGAGATTAGAAAAAAAAAGATATTTATAGTATAAAAAATAATTTATTTAACAAAATTTAATTAAAGATGTGACAAAATAGTTACATTTCTATTGGTTCTATCGGACTTTTTGCGACTATATAAATCTTTATTTTTTGTAAACTTTAATGCATAAAATATTTTCAATCTAATAAATAATTTAATGATGTAAATAAGAGGAACTTTCTCACATGGGTGGTCAAATTCTATAGTTTTCATTATATCAAACAGCCTCTGAATGTTTTCTTCAGTGCAAAACTCATCAAAATTTAATATAAATAATTTTTCCAGCCTGTAAATAAAATGAACAAATTTTTCCACTTTCATGATCAAAGGCTTTTAAATGGGTAAATAATTTCGAGTTATCCAGAGATTCGGATTCCTTTGCAAATTTTAGACAAATATCACACTGATGTATTTGAAGACCCTTTTTAATGATGTAGTCAAACACAATTAAAGGCATTTTGAGTTGAAAACATTTCTCAGAGGCTGTTTGATATAATGAAAACTATAAAATTTGACCACCCATGTGAGAAATTTCCTCTTATTTACATCATTACGTGATTTATTAGATTGAAAATATTTGATGTATTAAAGTTTACAAATAAAGATTTATATAGTCGAAAAAAGTCCGATAGAACCAATAGAAAGGTAACTATTTTGTCACATTTTTAATTAAATTTTGTTAAATAAATTAATTTTTTATACTATAAATATCTTTTTTTCCTTATAAATAAATCCCATTTTAAATAATATATACAAATTACCAAAACTTAGAAATAACAATTCAAAAGTTCAACAAAAATCCTACACGCGTTTTTAAAAAGAAAACCACGCACTATGTCATTCCAGCAAGCGAATACGACACAGCATAGGTTTCCGGACTAAACGACTGGTGTATTTACACCACTCAATAGGCGTGTCGGGTTTGCCGAGCGGTTTCCGATGCAGTCGCTTTCTTTCGCATCTGTTATAGGTAATTTGTGGTTAGGTTGTGACTAGCTACCACCTCCTGCAGCAAGCGTCGGGAGCCTTCGTCTCCTCTAGACCTAATAAGCGACACAAGCTAACGTTTCGTCTACCCGGCCTAGTTAACCAGGCGGGTCTAGACGTTCCTCTGAGAGTAGGTCTTAGCAAAGCAGAGTAAAGGCACGGACATACCTCCGCCTGAAGGATTTGCTCCAGAGGAAGCAAAAGCAAAAACACTCCTCGGAAAAGGGGAGAGTATATGTTACCTTCCGTATCGGCTACCTTCCGTTTCCCTTCCGTTTATATAAAATATATCATGTAAATGAAGAGGACAATGCACAATGCACACTATCCGCTCTGTTTCCCTTCCTTGCCCTATCCTTTCCTCCCATACATTTTTTTGGCGGATAGACTGAAGTGTATCGGAAACAGCGTTGTCAAGTTCTTACATTTGTACCAGCTCTGTTAATCTTTTGCTAATTATTTATTCTTTCACCTATTAAATAAAATAAATAAATAAATCTATAAATTTTTAAAATAAAACTTTCGTAATGATATAAATTGTACAATAAAAAGTATGGAACTGATAAGGAATGGAAGCTTACGTATAGCACCAATACAATAAAAAATACGCCGGTACGGATATGGAATGGATATTGAATGGAATCGGCGGATTGGTTGGTGGAAATCGCACCTAAGCTTAAAAATTGGCAAGGGCCGGGGCTGGTTGCAGTAAAGGGAGAAAACATCTCAAAAGGGGCGGCCATCACGGTCTTTCTGCCGAGGAGCAACGGGAAAGACACCACCTACCTGCTGAGGCTTTTATTCAGGCTCAGAACTCCAATGTAAGTACATCGAGTTGGCGAGTCATCAACTCGAGGGAGGAGGGTTATGGTTAGGTCCTCACAACAGGAATTGACCTCAAATCCAAGGAAGCAATAGATAAAGAAGGATATATCCTCTATTATCGATTTTTTTTAATAACCCCGGTATCAGGTCTAAGGAGAGACCAAATTAAAGAGGTGGAGAAAATGGAGACAGAAGGGTGTATACCCTAGGAGGAAGAACATCTGTTATCAGAGGAGGATGGGAAATACCCTGTCCCCCCTACAACAGGAAAATGTATGATGGGTTATAGACTGTGAAACTCGTTTTTAACAGTGATATGACTGATATTATGCATGAAGAAAAGATATAGCTGATAGAGACCATGGTGTTCAAAATGACACCTGAAGAATATTTTTTTGTAGAAGTGTAATATTTGCACTTATTTTATAATATTTATTATATTGTAAATTGAATTAAACAATCAATTTAATGGGAAAATTAAAACGATAAGGTTTTGTTGTAAAGAATATAGAAAATTCTAAACCGCAAATTCAACACTCTACCAACACAGATTTCATCAGATTTGAATTGACTTTATCAGAAAGTAAACATAGCCAAAAGATAATACTTAATATATAAACAAGGATAATACTAATTAAAATACTACTTGATATTATGCTTTACTATTAAAAATAATGATTCATGATATCAATTGTTTTACATTTTTTGTTAGTAAGTACTTAAAAATACTATAAATCAAATAAACCGTACCGTTGTTTCTTTTTCTGGTGCAAATGACATTAGTGCCTCGCGAGCTAGTACTAAAAAAATATGAATATGTTGGCCCATGTCTCAAAAAGCTTCGCCATCCCTG